TATTTCCCTTTAGTTTCTGAGGAATGTAAGGGGAACCATGAGAAGCTGGTGAACACGTACTGAGGAATATTGATACCAGCAAACATAGTGCTATATGACTGCTGTTTTAAAGGTGGTCAAACCCTTCCAGTGCGTTTGTCCAATATGGATTTAAGCACAGAGAAGGGATTTGGAGTCACTCTTGGAGCACAGATTATTTTTCTTGCACTACTAGCACTTTATGAATATGCGATTGATGGATAAAGTACTTAGGTTGGTAATTGATTCATGATGGATGGATACAAACACTTTTTTGGTTGAAATTAGCATTTTATTTATATTTATGATTAATGGACACAAAAGCCGTTTTTTTTAAATTTAATACCTATTGCTATCACAGATTGTTATTATTGCAATAATTTGTGATGGAATTTGATCGATATGTGTGATATACAATGTTAATTAGGACATATATGAATTACTTCTTTTGTTAGCACAACAGTACTTTATATTTAACAAGTTATTGGGTTTCTTTGTATTACCCACCATTAGCACAGTGTGTAAGACGTGCTTTTGTATGTTCTTTTACATGACATATTTTAAATCTACGCATTACCTTGAATACATACCCTTAAACACTCTGGAAACCCATCGAGCCTGTAGTTCAACTGTTGGCATAATTGATCCAAGGGGTTGTACTAATCCCAAGAAAGCAATGGTTGTCTTCTTCAAGTGAATTGGAAAAACATATTTATACAAAGATACATCATTGTCATTAAGTTTGATGATATTTACATCAAGAAAAGAAAATTTGGAGCTATATCCGGTAGCAAAAATAACGTCATCCACTTCAGCCATAGTACCATCTTCAAAGGTGACATATGTTTCAGAGAAAGATGTAATACCAGGTTTCACCTTAATCGATCCTTGCAGGATTTGACTTGGGAGATAATCATTCACCACTGGATGCTTCAACCTTTTCAGAAGAATAGACAATGTGAACTAGAGAAAAGACAACTGTGTTCCATTAATAATTTTTTTTAATCTACTCCCTTTATCCATTTGTCTTAAGATTTGTGTTCTTTTACTGTTACCTTTAGAAGTGTTAAAATAAACTTTCATGAAAAAAATAATGTTCTATCTTGAGCCGAGCACACACCCATTTTGACCTGAGGATACTTCCAATAGGTACCCAGATTAAATATTTATACGGATTCCAAGTCTCTATGTTTCATTTTGAATGACATCACTGTTGTAAATGTTTATATATGCCTAGGTGATTTGACCTAAATGAGTTAGTTCCTGGATACTGTTTCATTGATATGTGCATATTATGGATGTGTGGTTTCTTTTTTTGTGTGTGTTGTTATTGGTTTTGGTTGTTTCTTATTTATTTGTGTTATATTGGTTGTCAGATATTTCTCTTTTATATTGTCTGTTTAAAGAAAGACTTAAAAATAATAATCTGATTTAATACTACAGCTGAATCTCCTAGACCCGAATTTCCTAATTCCATTTCGGAGCTCCCGATTGCCATTTGGGTCTGGGAGCCATATACATATATTACTAAAGCTGAGGCTCCCAGACCCGAATGGCATTGCATTCAGAAATTCGGATCCCAAATGCCATTCGGGTCTGGGAGCCTCAGCTTTAGTATTATATGTATATACTGTATATGGCTCCCATGTTGTTGTAACGAAAATTTGTGATCAGACCCATTTGGATGCATTAAACGGAAAAACACATCTGATTGGCCAGAAAAGTCACATGCCCGCTTCAGTTTCGTTTTTGAACAAAATTCGGACGGGATCCAAAATCCGGAAGCGGAAATTCAACACATTCGGATGCATTGGGATTCGGAAATTCTCATGTGTCCGAATGTGCGAATTTCGGAAAATTCGTCAGAATTTTGATTCAGAAAAGAACGAATTGCACATGTCTAGTCCCCATAGAAGACTAAGGACCGGCTGAGCTTTCTCTAATTACCATACAATGCTTCTAGATCTTTAACCCTTTGTTAAGACAGTTTTTAAATCTAACAAGCAATAAATGTTCTGCGCCAATACTCAGTCTATAAGCTACCAGGCACTATGAATACACCCACTTGTATCTCAGCACGGAATTATTAACAAGCAACCGCCCTTAGAAAGCGCTCACAGGAAATCCAAAGACTACAGCCGTTCAATAGTTCCGGTCAGTGTGACGTCAGATGCTCCGCCCTACTCATGTTACATCCAGCGTGACTTCGTCAGGGGTTCAGAGCATCTGACGTACGGAGTGACATGTATAGCTATGTGTGCTCCCCATTATGGCCAATCACTGACTATATGAGCCTGCCAGCCCCAAAACTAAAGCAGTCTCTTCTACCGTAATATTATTACAATAGCCACAGCAAACATACAATACAATATGTACTTAAATAAAATCATATATTAAAAGTCTATACATATCCCATGGTGAAATAATTCATAAATAGATCAAATCCATGTACAAAAATGAATCTATAAACATGTACAATCTTCATATAAAAACATGAAGATACTAAGATCTTGAAAACAGTAATAAAAACAGTGATAAAAAACCTCCATTAGTCAGCAAAAATACATATAACTTCCATAAAAAGATATACGAGCATATATAAAATATAGGTAACATCACCTTCAGTTAATATATCACATATCTAGTGCAAGATTCAGGAATTAGCTATAAAACAGTTGAGGTCAAAAATCAACGTTCATGCCCCTTAAAGTGCCAGCTCTAAAAATCCAACCTGTCTCTTTCTTAGCCAGCTCATGTCTCCAGTTCCCTCCTCTCCAGTGCTTCTTAATCTTTTCCCCAGAGTTGGAGTAACTTAGGGTTTTTTTTGATGGACTTCCGCAAAATGTTTGGTTACAAAATGGTCCTTATATGCCCGCCTGATATTGTAAACATGCTCTTTGATTCAAATTGCCAATTTCCTTGTCTATGACCTATATATTGCAACCCACATGGGCATTCTAATGCGTATATCACTCCCTAACTATCGCATGAAACAAATTATTTAATATTTACCTGTGTATTGTCATTGTTAATAAGGAAGTGTTTTCTTCTTCTCACATTGTTGGATGCATGTCTACACGCATGACACAGGCCACATGCATAAAAGCCCACTGCATCCAAAAAAAGTAACTGATTTCTTTCCATTAGGTGGATCAACAACACTTCTAGCCACTATATCCTTGATAGATCCAGTTTTTCTATATATGAAGTTGAGTATTGAGGGGAGTAACCCTTGTAACTGTACATCTCTCTGCATTTTTGCTACTAGCTCTATATCAATGATTGTATATAAAGATGCCACGTCTGCAGTGATCAGATGGCAATCATCATCAAAATGTATCTTATCTCACTATAGTATTCAATGTTTGGTGTCCTTCAGATAAGTGGGCAGAATAGGAATATGGACTCCGGGACTCTAGATGCAGTACAAATAATTTATTGATGGACATGTAGCATATCACACTTATGCTACATGTCCGTCAATAAATAGATGCATTTTTACTCCATCTGGAGTGCCGGTGCCCATATTCCTATTCTGTGAATAAAAACTATTGCAATCCGTTAATTAACTCTGCACCCACTTATTCTGCATGGAAAAAACAGTCAAGAGTGCGATGAGTTCACGGACTATAGACGAACACACGAATACACAAACTTTAGATAAGTGGAGCTCCGTTGTATAAGGGGTTGTAGAGAAAGAAAATCTACATATTCCCCTAATCGATTTGTAACTGACCCAATACTGTTGATTATCGGTTGTCCCAGGGGATTCTGTTAATTTGTATGATTTCTTGGCTGATAGTAAATGATAGGTATTCTACATTGGGTTGACACAAAGTATTTTTCCTCTTTTATGTTTAGAATTAATTGTATAATTAATTAATAGATTGGAGAAATACAATCTTACGTGAACATTTGTGAATCCAAATTGGTTAAAATATTATATCTAAAATGTGGCTAACAAGTCGGATAAAGGAAAATGTTCAATGCCAATATATTAAGGTTTTGAGTGTAATACTAACTTGTGACCATGCGCTTGTTTATGCTTATTTTGGCCTTGGCATCCTAACTGCTGTTATTATTTTTTAGAACACTGTATAGAAATAAGTAATCAAATGGTTAACCTGACTTTAAATAATTTGATAGGGTTTTTTTCTCTTTCTTTTTTTTCTGGACCTTATTCAACCTATAATGAACACAGATTAATTGGTCTGACCAAATTCCTAAATTCTTAATCATTTTAATTATTCACCCTTAACTCTGAGGACGCACTCAATAACCATTCATTTTGTTTTCCTAGAATATCAGAGCTTTATTTTTTTAAATAACTACCATATTGCTAGCACAAAGAAGATGCTTGACAAAATAACACAGTCATTCAGCAGTCTAATAAAAAACACATATATTTGTTTTGACTGGTGGACATCAATGTAGTACAGAATGTAAATGTAATCTCATTTATGAAGATAAAATAAATAAGCTACTGCAATTCTTGTCTTATACAGGGGAATGTATTCTTTTATTTACCTGTGTTTAGGTTCCAAGCCAAGGTTTGAATGGTCAAACCACCCACTCATAAGTTTTTCACTTATCTTGGCAGCAAGTATATTTGGTAGTAGATTCTTGATCCACATAGTGTAGCGTCTTGACATGCTCATGTCAATAGGAAAACCACCAGTAGAAATACGACTGACCACCCAGGATCCGTTTCTGGTACTTAGATAAACCTAGGGAATATAATAATGAATAAGCCATTGCAAATAATCATGTATAAAACTATATTGTTAGTTTTCCTCTTTAAATATTTACTGCCCATAATATTTTTAACAACAAAAACCAAAAGAGCGTCAGGCTGTACGGCTGTATTCTATAGTTTGAAGCCATGGTTCTTAACTGGTGGGTCACAACTCTGTGTCCAGTGGGTCACCGCGTGCCTTCCCCTACGCTAGGTAAGAGGCTCCTTATCCTCCCCCAGCACAGCACTGTCAGTTCTTGCACCGAACAGCCATTCAAAATGTGCTTCCCGGTGCCAAGTGTCACCTTGAGGTGGGGTGGAGTGGGGGTATGGGAGATGTATGCTTACAGCTTCCTTGCATGACCTGTAGAGGTGCCCATACCGGAGTGACATCACTTTCCGGCTCCCGGCACCCCTACAAAAACTTTTTTTGGGGGGAGTGTGCATGTGTTTAAGAATTTCTGTGAGTCTGTGAGATTGTGTCTGTGGTTGTGTGTGTCTGTCAGTGATTTTGAGGGCCCGTTCACACTAGTACAGTGTGTTAATCACACAGTCCTGATCAATTAACGCACTGTACCAATCGCCTCGTTCTGGTGCGGGAGGTGTGTTGTGTTACCAGCGGAGCAGCCGCCCCGACGGAGGGTGCCGCCCTAGGCAAACGCCTAGTTTGCCTCGCGGTAAATACGCCCCTGCCTCTGCCCACAGTTTGATCACCCACATCTTAACACGCAGTACAGCAATGCCATGCGCTCCAGAGCTGTGCAACTTGGGTCCTGTGCCAACAAACCTGAAACTCTCAAATGGGTGAAACCATGTGTAATGAAGATAAGTTATAGCTAACAGGAGTTTTGAGTCAAAGTTTGTACAATTCTTTTCTTTCTGCTTCAAGAGACCCTGCTTTTAGTCATCAAACCCCAGCCCGCACATCTGCTGGTAATTCCAATGTAAGGACTTGCAAAGGGACTCTAAAATTACATAGCAAGCTATCCCAAAAAGTATAAGGTGTTACCCTTGCACCTTTGAACCAATAATGTATTGCAAGTCTGCCCACTTTTCACAGTGCATACGGTGTACTAAAAAAATAAATGTTGTTACTATATAGGTTGTTACTATAAGTTTGTTACTATAAGTTACTTTACTATATCCGAATCAGCAATTTCCTAGAAGATCAGCAACTGTGACTTATATTAAAAATACATGATCTATGTTAGTGAAGCTCAGAGTTTATTTCATAAATTACAAAGTCTGACCTGCTCCAGTTTAGGGCATGAGTTTATAATTTTAACATCTAGGGTAAGTGTACCAATTCATGTGTAGCACCCGGTAAACAGGCGTGATAGGGATGCACAGATACTTTTCAAGTACCAGTGCAGATACTTGGCATTTTCATGAGAACTACCAGGGTTGCAGAGGTTGCAGCTGGGACCTGGCTCTGGCGCGTCACCACTGTCCTGAAATCATTAGTCTGTATTGTTTTAGAAAAACTGTCACATGACAATAAACAAAAATGTATCAGTACTCGTACTTGCAAAACTGGTATATGTGCATCTCTTTATTTATATTTATAAAAACAAAATCGTACATCAAAACAGAGATGTAGAAATCCCGGGAGCTCCTCGTGCTCCTTACAAATGACATCTGCCTCCTAATTTTTGAATTTTTCTCTAGTCTAGTCTTGGAGCTCAAAAGTATCGGTACATGTACTCGTACTTGTACCGAGTACTGTACTTGGTATCTGTGCAACCCTAGTGATTATTAAATTTAGTATTGTCCGATTGTATTCAGTCTGATGCTGATCTATAGTGTATGCTCATTTGGTTTCCCCTAAGCAATCGGTTATTGTTTGCATATGCCTGCTCCTGGGTGTATCTTTGCCACAGTGCAGAGCAATCAATAAGGTATTATTATGAGTATGTATATCTCCCTAACCAATCACTAGGAGGTTGATGGCCAGTGGTGCATGCTGAGAGAGGATATAAATACTTGAGGCGGACCATGTGAGTTCTCTTCTTCCTCCCCCGGGCCCTGTCTGTGGGGAGGCTGCTATGGACTGTCTGATTTTGCTAGGCCTGAAGCCTAGGGACTAGCCATGTGCTCACACTGAGGCCTGAGTCAGGGGGCCCAGTGGCTACTACTGATATCAAGGATTAAGATGACTAATGACTTCTGACTCAAGTACTGCCCCGCCAGGTGCTCTACTCACTGATTGCTTAAAGGTCCTGGTCTGTAAATGGCAGCAGCTACTGAGTTCTTCTAATTAATGGAGTCTACATCAGCCTGGATGATCCTGACCCTAACCCTCGCTCCCAGAACTTCTTCAATAAGATTCTTTAGCATCATATCTACAGTCTGGACCTCGCTTTTATCGGTCGGCACAGAGGGTGGTGAGTGCTATTGGGGCAGCTGGTTGCTGAAAATACCTAGAAAGGCTATGGAAGACCCAATTATTCCAGCGGCTCCCAACGGGGTGAGTGCTACACATGTATTTAATTAACAGTAGCCTGGCACTTAGGAATCAAGTCTAAATTTCATTACCCCATATAAATATGGTGTCCCCAGTAAAATTACAAAATGTTCAGCAATCACAGTTTTCACACATATAATTGGTAATGAATTTGATTATTCCTATACTGCTAAAAAAATTCACATAATATTTAATAATCATTAACAGCTAATGTACATTACCCTCATAAAACACCATTTCAAAGTGCAGAGTTATTGAATTTTAAATATTATGTTTATATTTTACATCAGACACTTAATATGTGGTTGATTTACTAAAGGCAAATAGTCTGTTCACTTTGCAAGGAAATTTGCATTCTGCAGGGAAAGTTCCCTAAGATTAATAAATGTGGTGAAATTTCACAGCAAAAATACCCAATCATGTGCAAGAGAATTAAAAAAAACAACAGTATTTTAGTTGCACATAATTGGGTGATGGAAGTTAGCAGAGTTTCACCTTATTCACTAAACCAAAGGGAAGCTTCCCCTACGAAGTGCAAATTCCCTTCCAAAGTGAACAGCATATTTGTCTTTAGTGAATCAACTCCTATATGTTAAATTTTTACTGCTATTATAACTATATTTATATTACTATAATTTTTTAGAGTTTTGATCACTATTAAAAAAATAGGCATTATGAGTGTATTTTATTGTACAGGCAGTCCCCGTGTTACAAACCTCCGACTTACATACAACTCCTACTTACAAACATGGGCTATTACTGTACAGCAGGGGTAGTTGTAATGCTAACGCGCTCATGCCGACGAGGAGTGCCCGCCTTTTTGGGTCTGGTTCGTAGTACTGTACATACATTACAGGAAGTTGGCTCTTGTTAGACATGCAGACGAGGGGTGCCCATCTCTTCTCCCGGGTCCCTGTGAGGTTTTTGCTGCTCTCTGTATCCTCATTAGTAAGATTTAATCTCACTTCCTGACCTTGAGACAACAGGAACCGAGAGGAAATCTACCCCCAGGAAGGGAAATTCACTCCTGTAAGAGTTATCATGGGAAAAAGGTGTTTCCACTGAAGCTTTATCACCAATCCTTGTTTCCAAGACAACCCAAAATTTTCAAAATCCAATTGTCACAGGGACAGACAGTGAGGTGAAATCTTTTGAACAGGGGCACACACAGCAAAACAAACTTTACAGGGGGTTGACCTATGCAATCCAAAATGAAAAATAACATTTGGGGGCTGGATTTACACTTAAAAAATTTACCTGTTCCAACTTACATACAAAATCAACTTAAGAACAAACCTACAGTCCCTATCTTGTTCGTAACCCGGGGACTGCCTGTATTGTGTATTGAGCATTGTACTCTGCTCTGCTATACATAACTTTCTGGAATAAACAAGCAGTATAAGGGCATGCATTCTGTATTCCTTAAATTTAAGTGATGAAGTACACTGAAAAAGAAGTAAAAGAAAATCTGGAAGAACCAGTTTGTACTAGTTGTTATTGCAATCATATCACAATTAACCACAAAATCAGCTCTAGCCGACCTTTACACCATTAGCAATTTAAAATCTACGTTTTGCCAAAAGGATAGACTATAACAGATATTAAAGAAAGAATCAGAGTTCTATAAAATGGAAGGACATGACCTGTTTCAGATGAAACGGTAAACAATATAGACAACCTGTTTAGCAGTATGACTAAGTTCCACTGATATATCTCCAGCTGAATTTCCAGTGCCTACAACTAAAACTGTCTTCCCGTGATACTTTTCACTTGTTTTATAGAAACGACTGTGAATGTAGTGGCCTTTAAAATATTCTATACCTGCAGAGAAAAAACAAAAACAAAAGCAAAATATTTGTATAGTATATTTATATAATAGTTTGGAATTATAAGGTCTCTAAAGGTGAAAACACATGCTAGAATGGCTTGTTACTACAGACTAAACACTGTAACCTCATGGTAAAGCATAACTACATACAAAATCTTTTTGTGTCTTGAATAGAGCAGTGGAGCATTAAAACTTTTGTTGGGCTTTTATTGCTGTCCTGGTCTCAATTGGGGGCATTTCCACTCATTGTGTGCCCCAGTGACATGGGTGTGAAGGGGCAGGAAGTAATAAGACATTTCTCCTATGGGGACAGACAGCAATAAAAATACTTTTAAATGGTAAAGTGGGGGAGTTAGAAGCTCTAAACCTTCCTTACTTTATTCAAAGCTAGGAAAAAGTTTTGTCTGGTGTTGGTCTTAAAATAAAAAATCAAATTAAGGAGTACCAGAACTGTGGAAGCTGTGCTCAAAATAGGCGAGCAGAGGGTACAGAATCTGAGAAGTCGTTTACTCTCCCTTTCCTCTCGGACATGCTGTATTTTCTCACAATGATGCTCTGTGTGGTCTCCAGTCAGTTGTGGTTGTAAAGCAATTGAAAGATGTTTAAGACCCTAGCACTGTGGGCAAATGAAAGTGAGGCCTGGTATGGAAGAAGGGCCACACAGAGGAATACTGTGAGGAAATACAGCATCAAGTCTGAGATCAATGGGAGAGTGAACTACTGGCTTATCATGCCTTGTTCTAAATCTACACTGTACGATGGTAGAGTAGAAAATCACTGGACTACTTGGTATATTGAGATTTTTGATGGCAGATGTGTAGATCAGTAGGAAGCTCTTTGGTTCCAAGGACCCTTAGGGGCAGTCCCTGTAAAACTGGATAAAAATACCCCTCTACTGGTAAAAGTCCACAATATATTTTATCTTAAATGCAACAAGGTGAGACAACATGTTTCGGGGACTAAAAAGGTCCCCATTCTTAAGCTATGGAATCAGTCAAATAAATGGACTGGACAGGACTGCTGGTATTGCATTATATGATGACATTAAGGGTCCACCCACATTCTGGGTCAGTGAAAGAGAAGACTGGGGAACAAACTGCCATGGAACTGAATTGTAAGATGAATATTTGTCTCTACTAAACCCTTAGACCAGGGGTAGGCATCTTTGGCACTCCAGCTGTGATGAAGCTACAAATCCCATCATGCCTGGGAGTCATGCCCATGCCTGTCAGTGTCTTGCAATGCATCATGAGACTTGCAGTTTCAGCGTAGCTGGAGTGCCAAGGTTACCTACCCCTGCCCTAGACTAAGTGAGCAACACAATATGTCTATGCGAATGGCAGGAGCTAAAAATTATTTGGTCTCTATAGCAAGCACTATAACAAAAACTAGAATGTGCTCACTGAAAATACTTCATAGCTTCCCTTTAAAGCTTCTCTTTAATTTATGGTTGCATTCTTGGTTTCATTGGTGCCACTGTATGAGAAAGATTGAGATGCTTTTGATTTTAAATCCATTGACAAATATGGGAATCCAGTTGTCATACTTATCTATAACTTGTCTAATTCAGAATTCTATTTTCATTTTCATACTCACCTGGAAAACAGTTTAGAGGCATGTAAGGGTCATTATAATGTCCATTGCAGACAATTACTGCATTAAAAATCTCTTCCTTCCTTTCCACATTTTCCCTGCCACGGGTTTCAATCTCAATATTCCATTGTCCGCTAGTAGCAAAGTCCTCACTTTGCTTTACACTACAAACTTGAGTCTGTAAAGAATGAGGAAATGTGAAGAAATATAAATTTACCAAAATGTTGCTGGTTAATTGAACAGCCATTTTCATATACCAGTTTTTATATTGAAGTTTACATTTAGTATTTTAGTATAAAACACCTTCTAATTGAATGGAGAAAAAATTATAGAAGCACCACTCCTCCATGGCTCTGCAAAAGAATGAGCCGGGTGCTTGCCACTGGGAGCACGTCCTCATTCCAATATGAGCCCATACAAACAGAAGAAAAGCTGGCCACACACTGGAATCCACTGGGATAGTAAATTTGAAGCTTGACCACATCACTGGTGCCCCGCCCAAGGTCCACCACTGACGCATTTCACCAAATCACGGACTTAATCGCAGTGAATTTACCACTGTTGGGTGAAACACGTCTGAGGGGGCGGACCTTGGGCAGAACACCAGTGATGTGGTCAAGCATTTTATTATCCCAGTGGAATCCAGTGTGCGGACAGCTTTTCTTCTGTTTGTATTTTTCTTCTAATTGAATGTCATCAACCCTTTACTGCAACCTCAGCCACTGCTACCCCTGTTATATACCCATTCCAAACCTATATTCATGTAAACAAACCACTACTAGAAGGATACTAGCATAGCTTGTATGATATACTGTAGCAGAGATATAAAAGCAAGGAACAAAATGGTCAGGTTTCCAGATATTAGCAGAAAGATGTTAAAATGGCAGAATAAGTTGGCATTACAGTGTGATATGTTATAATGCAGGTTGTGCAATTATTATGTAATATTATTAAACGTCTGTAAAGAATTTCTACAAGGTAATTAAGGACTGGTACAGAGACAGTTTTTTAAGAGTCTAAAGGTAACAAGCAAATCAGATAAGACAGGTAGTTCTAGTAATAACTAAACCAAGTTCAAAAATTACTATTTAGGGTTTTGTATGTGGGGGGTTTTTCCCCGAATAAAATACGTTTTTTGTCTTTTTCTTGCATCTCAGTGCTGGTAATCTCCTAGAGCCTCTTTAAGCCACTTCCCATCTACATACCCTCATTCCAGCACTGCTGCACACCATTGCTATGCACCAGCTTCCTAAAAGCAGTGGATCGCATCTGTGCATTGCCTGTTAGCATGGGCTCTTCTAGTTGGCACCAGGAAAGCATATAACAGGCCAACAAGAAATACAAAGAGGAATGTGGTGCACTCCAAACAGTCTTCAATCCAAACAAAATCCAGTGCTGTAATCATACAAAGTGGATGATGCCACTCTCTGGTATCCTCAATGGTAGAATATCATCAGCACCATGTATTCCAGGATGGAACCATTAATTAGTGCTGGATAAGGTTACTGATAACTAATAAATAGCTCTATAATGTGTGCACAGCGGACACAATGGGGAGATAGTTGTCACCCCATGACATAAATGTCTGGAAAAGGACCCTCATGGTAGGGTGACCAGATATCATGATATTGAAAGCTGCAGATTTAAAAAGATTGAACACAACTATTGTAGTCAGTGGCGTAACAACCGGGGGGCGCCGCACCGCTGACCCCCCGCCGGTTGTTACGCCACTGGCTGAATGCCCATCGTGGTAGACGGGAACCGGGACGGAGCGGCAGGGGGCGGAGACAGGAGATGGGGCGGACGCACTAGCTCAATGCTAGAGCGGCAGCAGGAGGAGACGGGGACGGAGCAGCAGGGGGCGGAGACAGGAGATGGGGCGGACGCCCGGGAGATCGAAGAGGTGAAGATGGAGGAGACTGGAGGGCCGATGACGGTAGCTGAGGAGGCGGGGAAAGGCGGAAGATGGAGGAGACGTTGATTGGGTGCCGAGGCAGCGGAGGAGGCCTTTTTTCCAGTGCCAGGTAGGAGGATGACTGTGCTGGCAGGGCCCAGCATAGATTCTGCACAGCCCCACTGAGACTGCACGGCCTGTGGGGGTCTCTGCAGGATCTGTGGGGGGGCTTTGCAGGAGACAGCTTACGGAGACCCGGGGGTCGAAGCTAGCGTTGATAGCTAGCTCCGCCCAACTGTTTCCTATTGGCTGGAACCTGCCAGAGTCTTCTAGCAGGTCCCAGCCAATGAATAACAACTGGGTGGAGTCGGCCGTAACATCACGGCTGGCTCTGCCCAGTTGTTATTGTTTAATGACAGATCAGCATCCCCAGGTCATTTGGGGATGCTGATCTGTCATTACAACTGTGCGGAGCGAGCCGTGAGATCACAGCTGGCTCCGTCGAGCTGTCATTTGCGTGGAGATTGGTTGGCTTCGGGTGTCACTGCGGCCTTCAGCTGCTGTGCTGTATTGTGAATAGCCTGTACAGCAGCCCTTCGGTTCGACTGAACTGAAGGGCAGAGGAGGCCGAAGCGAGCCGAAGGATCACCCGAAGCTACGCCTGGATCCTTCGGCTCTTTTGTTTTACCAGACAGAAAATTTGCAACAGGGAAACGGACAACAAGAAAAAGCTAACAGAGGTTCGAGAATTCATCTTCTTAAGGCCCTTTTTACATGGGCACCTCGGTTCCAATCAGGAGGGGATCCATGCACAGATTTCCCTGCTGATCAGAACGGATGTCACTGTTGTGAAATCCATATCTGTCCAGTTTTTTCCGTCATCTTGGATGTAAATGAACATGTGTCCGTTTACATCAGATTACCTCCGATCTGGCATGATCAGGTCTGGCAAAACAGAACACTGTTCTGTTTGTTCAGATCCGCCTGAAAAACTGACAGGGGGACCTGACTGGAATGCCCATGTGAAAGGGCCCTAACTTTTAAAAAAAATTGATAATAGATACATGTGGGTGACTGAGTACTTGTTGCTACAACCTTTCAGCCAGACCTGTATGGAACATCAAGAGGAAAGTTTTATATAACCCCAATGCTTATGCTGACGGTGTTCAAGGGCATTTTTGGCCCCACTGAAGCATTTGCCTAGTGCTAAAAAATGCATTATAAAAATTAGTGAAAGTTGTCAGGACCCTTGTGGGCAAGACCTAGTTGATCCATTCACTCATCTTCAGTATTTAGCTTTTACAGATTACAAAATAGGAGTGAATGATTCTTCTGCTGATTACCTCATCAAAATTTAGCACAAGGAAAAAGCATAATTATTATGCATTTATTGTAATGGCTGACTTACCTGAAACTGAATACATTTCAGCAGGTCAAAGTGTTCTGCATACAAGTGAAGGTATTCTAAGATCTTGGAATGATGGAGATACACGGGAAAGTCCTCTGGCATTGGAAAGTCACTGTAGCACATCATCTCTTTGGAGGTATTAGTGAACACAGACTGGTAGATACTGGCTCTTCCTTCTTCTACCCTCTCCTATTAAGCATATAGAATTTTATTAATCAATATATCAATAACGACTGCCTACATTACCCCACAGCCACCATACAGATTCACAACTTTAGATCAGGAATTCTGTTTTCTTTTGTATGTTTTAATTTGATTGGTTGCAACGTGAACAGTTCATATTTCAAACACTTGAGTAAGCGAAGCCAATATCGTTAGTAATTATACATTTTTGGTAAACATTTCAAATATTGGAGTTTCTGCTCTCACTATTTATACATAAAAATGTGCGTATCAGGTCAACAAGGAAAAAAGCAAGGGCCTGAGTAAGGCTCCACTAGATCCCATTGTATATATTCAGCTTTAAAGTAGAACTGAAGTCAAAACTTTTTTTTGTTTTGGAAAGAGTAAGGGAGGGTTATAACCCCATTAGCGTGTTTCTTTGCCATCTGTGTCCCATTGAGGAGATTTCCCTTGACTTTCCATCCGATTGCCACAGCAGAAGGTAAAAGGAAATCACTCCAAAGTGAGGGAGTTCTCTGGTGGTCAGCAAGGTTACCAGAACTAGTGTCCCCATTGGAAGATTTCCCATCTATTCCTGTTCTAATGACAATCCAAAATTTGGGATTTATTCACTTTCAGTGATAATGTTCACCAGGACAAATAGAGAGGGTGAATCTCCCTAACGGGGACACAGATAGCAATAAAAACCTGACAGGAGTTCTAATCTGTCTTTATTCCACCCACTAACTAAAAAAAAAATGCTTTGGCTTCAGTAGCAGTTTAACTTTCATAAAATTCTTGGCCATTAAATTTTTATTTAAGTGGAACATTTCTGATCTATTTAAAACAAGTGGGATGGTCTTTAGACATGTGTGGTCCTATGGTCATGACATATGACATCACAGAATGATTTATTAACTTACTGAGTATTTCCAGAGTCCTCCAATGCCATCGCTTTTTTCAAAACATATAGGATCCAGGCCTTCCTCCAGACAACATTTGATGGCTGCAAGTCCACTGCAACCTGCACCAATAATAGCTACTTTCATAGCCATTGTTACTGAAACATCAAAAGTGAGAGTTGCAATATACAGTATATTATTATTAGCTAGAATATATTTAAAAATATTAGAAAAATAAAATAGGATACAATAAATAAATTGTGCACACATCTTTTTTTCAAGGTACAGTTCACCTTTATGTGAGGTGTAACCAAGAGGATCTGCTGTGAGCAGTAAGGTTACCAGGAGAGATATGCTCCAGAGCTGGTTGGTTGAGGTTGCCAGACAGAATGGGTTGTTCTGTGCTGTGGGGAGGGAGGGCAGTAGAAATGTTCTGTTTGGTGATGGGGGAGTTAAACAGGTGGAATGTTCTTTGACATGGAAGGAGGGACAGGGTTCCACGGGGGATGTTCTGGTGCACTGTGCTATGAAGGGGGGTACAGGGAGGGATGTGCTGGGAGGGAGGAGGATTGGAGGTTGTGTATACATATATACACATATATATATATACACACACACACACACTGTATACAGTAAAAATATATATAAAAGCTTAGTAACTCACTCATCTCCTTCTTACCTCAATTATCTTGAGGGAAGGGGGGGGGGGAGCTAATTTGTTTTTGTTTTTTAAAGGAGAACTATGGGGTTAAGGCTTTTCCCCATAGTTCTCCTTAGGGTAACGGGAGGACACAAACTAGCGTCCTCCCGTCACCCTAAGCTCAGTATACCGCGAGCTACTGCTCGCGGTATACTGAGACGCCGCAGCTGAAGTGGATCCCGACAATTATGTCTGGATCTGCCCAGCTGTACCCGCCCCCTCCCCCGTCCGATCCGCCAGTCAGCGCTGAACGTATGGATGTGCAAGCATTCCATTCAGTCTAGGTTAAGGGGGAGCGCACTGTGGTGCCTTCACCTTGGGTGCTGGAACACCTTGTCCTCACACTGCTTGTATCTGCCTGCCAGAGAACATGCTGATCAGAGGTCTGCATGAAGTTGGATAATTGTAACAGCTGGGCACCAGGGAAACAGTGTCAGGTTGCCATGATGGGCACCTCCCAGCAGACGTGGGATTGCAGCACCTTGTGGTGACAAAAAATGTGCGCACTTTTTTTACCACACGGCACAGAACGCGTGCCATTGAGGTACTGCGCACTGTATGGAAGGTGCATTGGGGTGCCAATCAGAATGAATGGCAAAGCAACGTACTAGCGCATCTCGTGTGCGATTCACTGCGTGACAGTGCATGCTAAAGACACGGATACTATGCCTTTAGTGACCCTATAGTGTGAACTAACCCTTAAAATGTGCAAAATGTGCAATTAGAATAGAATGTAGTCATTGTTTTTGCATTTGCAGACTCACACTTGCACACTCAGGAAAAGTAAAATGTGCTCTCAAACAATGAAATGTATAAACGCTTACACAGATGTCATAAAGAAATGGGAATGGTCGCATTTTAGTGGAATGATAGTAAAATTGACCCTATAAAGATAAACCGAGCCATACCATACCTTTTTATTGCTTGGTAAAATCTGTCAAGGTTTTCTCCATAGAACATAGTGTAGTATAACACAGAAAAAACATGAAGTGCTTTAAAAAGGATCTTCTTTGAACTCTGTCCTGAAGGAGGACCTGGGTGTGGAAAACAGTTGTGGAATCATGTTACTGACTGAATCATCTGGTGAAGAGGTGAAGAGTTAAACAAGCAGTTGCAATACATTCATCTGAACTGTGTTACGTGTCAAAGGAATCCAGATTTCTCAGCCAGACAGCACATCCAGGCGTGTGACCTCCCCAGCAATACATTGAGCGCACAGTACATTGAGCGCACAGATCCAAGTGCAGTAAGAAAACAAAAGTCGCCAATGTATGCCACTCAATCTGTGGGTTGTAGAATGTGTATAAATGGTCGTGGCTAGGGGTCCAATCTAGTTCAAGAACTCTTAGGAACCTGGGAAGCTCTTGCCGGTGTCCTGCTGAGCTCCTGTCAACCAGTGACCTCACTGGCTGCCAGGAGCTCAGCGGGACGCTTCCCCCACTTCCCTCCACCACCTTAGGCGGCAAAAAGGCTAAGGACGCCCCTGCCTGTCACATAACAAAATAGAAGTCACGCATTGTAACCTATCAGCTTCTCTCTTCGGTTTGTTCAGTTAAGCTTTAAAAATGAAAAACAGAAGCTGATAGGTTGCCATGGACAACTGTTCCAAATTCTGCCAGATTCCTCCAGTTTTAATAAATTCCCCCCATGTATTTTGTTAACACAACCATGTTAAAAATATCTATACCTGTAACCCAATAACACTGTTACAATGGATACTCATATGATAATTGCCTTACCCCCTCTAGTGTTGATTTCTTGTCATCTCACATTACTAGTACTGGTTACATTCTGTATATATAAATAATGTTTTTATCATTTATTATAATAATTTATATATATTTCCTATGCACTATATTTTTATAGACAAACAGTTTTCTTTAACTCTTGGTGTTAATGGCTGCCAGCCGAACGATCCACTTGCTGTTGCATAATCAAAGTTTTCCACAGTTTATCACAGTTGTTCACACGGACTTGAGGGGCTGCTCATCCAAGCTCTGGGGCTTCCTCCACGAACATAAAAAAAACAAAAGAGAACAGAGCGCCACCTCCGTGTGTAAAATCGTTTATTAATATGAATAAAACAAGGGATATATTTACTCACAAGCAAACGTTTTCATCACGCTTTAACAACAATGAGGCCACACTGTCTGTTAACCCAACATGTTGTATCGCCCATCTATACCATGTTGGGTTAACAGACAGTGTGGCCTCTTGTTTGTTGTTAAAGCGTGATGAAAACGTTTGCTTGTGAGTACATATATCATTTGTTTTATTTACTTTAATAAACGATTTTGCACACGGAGGTGGCGCTCTGTTCCTTTTGTAGTATATTTTTATATATGCAACACACAATTTCATATATTTCTTATCTTTATTTGCTTGACTCCCATTGATATATTCTTATATTGTTAAAAAAAATATTGCTACTGAAATGGCTTTGCCATTATGGCCTTTTTTTTTTTTAATCCCATGTATTGCTCCCAATGTACGAGGACTGCATACTCACAATTAGTGTCCTTTCCAGCTAGCATTCATTTAGTTACCCCTCCCTTTTTATATATAATACTATGCTTTTACGCCATATGTAGGCTTGAAAAAGGAGGCGAGCCTTCAAAACGTGTTGCCTAGCAAAGCTTGCCACCGTACAACCCAGGAATACCCAGTAGGGCTATCCCGGTGTTCAGAGGACAAGGCAGTCAATGTTCCAGCTGATCTTTCCATGAGTGTTTCTCCTTCTCTTTGAAGGCATCTCTCACTACACCCAGGGCCGGTGCTAGACTATTTTGCGCCCTAGGGAAGACCAGTCCCAGCCCCACTCCTGCGGTGCAACTCCCAATCCCCCCACAACCCCTGTACATCCCCATTCTCCTGCCGGCTAGCTTCCGCAGGCATGTAAGCAGCTGGGAGCAATAGCCAGACTGCAATTGGCGATTTTAATTTGAAATAACCAATAGCAGACTGGCTATTGAAACCCCACCCACTGAGCAGAGGAGCCAACCTGAGAGAGAAAGTTGTCTCTTAATTCCGCTCCTCTGCTTAGTGGGTGGGTGCAATAGCCAGCCTGCTATTGGCTTTTGCAGTTTGAAATAGATGGGGGAGTGAGTGGTCGTGGCTGCGCCCTAGGCAGCAGTGCACCCTAGGCGGCTGTTTGCCTAGTTTGCCTAGTGGTAGCACCGGCCCTGCCTACACCTCTTGTCCTCATCTAACTACAGCACTGATGATTGTGGGGATGAGCTGAATATACTGGACCTTTATTTTGCTATGTGACAGGCGTGCTTTTTAACATTTACATGTAAGTGTATTCGTTTTATCCATATTAAATTGTTGTTTCATACTGCACTCTGTGTGCTTTGTGCTATGTTACTTTTCCACTTGTGCTGCATGGGTGCCTCGCTATCCATTGACCGGGCTGCAGGATCAATGATGTGCATACTTACTTGCATATCTTGAGCTGGATTGGATCCCCATACAAGACCATTTACTGTATGTACATTCTACAACCCAAAAATCGAGTTCCACAAGTCGGTGACTTTTTTCTTGTTTTGTATTTGTCTAGTGCATTGGCTGATATTACTGTACCCCAAGGGTGGAACAAGAGGTGGTACTGGTTGTCAGTAGGGGTGAGGAAGCACACATTTGACAGGGAATTAGGCCCTCTGCTAGTATGTGGCTTGTAGCGGCTTCCATATTGCATCTTCAAATTCACTACCAATGTAAGGTTGATTCTTTTTCCCACTTTCCACCAATGTGTTGGGCATTTTTCCCACTGACCCCCAATATATGGAACATTATTCCCACTGGCCATATGGCTTTGTTCCTGCTGACTGGGTTCAAGTAATTGTTACTGTTATTGTCATTACCACAATATTGTAACAATAAGTTGTTTGCCACTTGAGTATTAAAGCCATTGCCCTTTTTTTTCCTTCTTATTTAATACAGTTGACTGCTTGTTTCCTGTGTATTGCACAGTATATGATTCTCACAATGTCCGGCATTTCCCATTTGGTCCCCGGTGCTGGGCTGTCAGCCTATTGTGATCCACAGGGCTGCAGCCAATCGGCACACCTCCACCCCTATATATCACTACCTCACTTGTTGCCCTGTGTTCGAGGAACAAGTCCTATCCCTGGTGCTGGACCCCCCCCACCGTGATATATTGTGTCCCTTTCTGGATTCCTGCGTTCATGATCTCTCCTGTGCTTGTGGTCCCCTGTGCTTTAATACTGTCTTGGATTCCTGTGTTGGCTTTGATCCCCTTGCTTCCCTGTATCCTCATGCTTCCTGCGTTACTCCAGTGTACCCAGTAACCTCTCTGTTGGCTTTTCCCTCTGGCTCTTCTTGTGCCCCTGTTTGTTACAGTTTCCTGTGGCTTCTGTGTGCTGACCTCCCACCTTGCTTTTCTGTGACTGGCAGTGCAACACGCATTCCCCTAGTGCTATCCTTGTGCACGGCGTCTGGTACATCCGTGGCCGTGCTACGCGCGTCTCTCATTGCGCAGCTTTCAGTGTATTCTTATTTGAGTCTTCCTGTACCTTCCCCTGTGCATATCATCTATGCACAGGGGAAGGTACAGGAAGTTCAGGTAGTTCTGTGTTCTGTACATTTTTCCTGCGTGTACACTCTGTATCCTTGCCCTGTACTCGCACCATCCCTTGTGTGCTTTTTCCTTGCTATACATGTTTTCAGTGTGAGCTGTGATTCCTTGTGAGCTTCTGCTTGTCCTGCTAGTGGATGGTAATCCCCTCCTCAGTGAGCGCTTGCACCTGCACTTACCTGATAGTCTCTCTTCCTCCTGTGTGGCTGCTTGTTAAACGCAGCCTCGCTCCAGTGTATCCCAGATAGCCGTTTTGTGGTTTGCCTCCAGCTCCTGCTTCCTGTGGTCATTTTGCTCTGCACTATTGTGCACCTCCCTCCTTTCTTCTGTGCAGTCCCCTCTGTTGTTCCTGTGTATCTCTTGTTCCTGTGGGTACACCTGTTGTGTATTCCCTTTTGTTACCTGCTCCCTGTGTCATGCATGTTCCCTGCGTCTTCCCTCTAGTGCCTCTTTTCTGTACCTTGTATCCTGTACGTACCCTGTGTCTTGTCCAGTGTCCTGTAGTCCCTGAGTACCCGCTGGCAGTGAGCCTTCACGGGTGTGTCAGAGAGCCGCAACCTGGGAGCTGCCCCGCACCTCAACATCCACACCATCAGTGGCTCTGGTGAAGACCAGACGGCTGCTTAGATCCTGCGACTCTGGCACACCTGCGTTTGTTGTGCGGTCACACTGTCCCTGCATCTTCAGAGACCTGTATCCCTGCACATTCCTATTCGGTTACAATATACTGCTCCACAAGACCCGGTGTTTATAATACCTGCTGCTCTAGTTCCCAAATCGTGACAATGATTATACATTTGTGGCCCATGAAGTGTCAGGATTGCCATTTTTTCCTATGTATTGTCATGTCACCCCTGTTTAGAGGACCACATAAAATGATTTTCTCCCTGCAGATCTGTCACTATCAAATAATGTTGCTATTACCCATGTTTCTCCCTGCATGAACTATTTATTTTTTACTGGCATGATTATAGATACAAGATGTGGATAAAAATTAACTAAATTGTCCTCATTCCTTTTCAGGCCATTTTTAATTTTCATAAAACTTTATGATTATTATTGCAGGAGTAAAGTCTTGGATTGTGTAATGATACTAGGGCATGTTAAAACATGATTTGTCCTGCATGTCTAATTCTCTAGGTATGCCACATTCTTTATTCTTTTATTTACTACATCTACAACTCAGTGATGACAGTAATATACTGCAAGCTGTAGATCTCTGGAATAGAATGGTTGAAGAAGGCTGCTGTAGGGTAATGCTAGACTTCTAGTCTAGAGAAGATGTGTAACTACTGTTTAAGGTATTCTGATACAACTTCCTCCATTCTCTTCAAAGTTTGTTCTGTAAGGTTTAAAAAATCATTTTAGATGAAACAATAATGATTAAGGAGCAATTATTCACATAAATCTGCTGTTTGCATATAAAACACTACGATCCTGTATAGAAGGGTCTGGTTAAACAGTATATAAACTTATCTTCCGTGCTTAGCACCAGGAAAGTGGTTGGAGCTTAAAGCAGAACTCTGGGCAGAAGTTTTCTTAACCCTTGCAGAGGGCTACCCCCACACTGCAAGGGTTAAGTGCTCATTTTTGCCTAGGTGCTAAAAAAAGTTATTCTGACCCGATCCTAGGAGTCGGCTTGCTCTTAGACCGGCCCCTGGAGCCTTTCTCCCCCTCCCCTGCAGCGGTCTAAGGTCTCATATATCATTATGTTCTATATACAGTGTATAGACATGAGGATGATGAGGAACATTCCAATACTGCAGCATAGGCAGCGACAGGTTTCAGTGACCAGAGAAGCAGGCAGCTGGCTTGGTGGTTCGGGTGAGTATAACTTTTTTTTTAAGCACCTAGACAAAAACTAGCACTTAAACCTAAGGGTTATGAACACTTTTGCACAAAGTTCTTCTTTAAAGTGTATTTCCACTTTTGCAGCCAAATTGGGATAGTACCTACTTTATATTTGTAACATGTTCCCATTCATGTAGCATAACATAGCTTACCTTACCTTTTAGATGTTTATTGTGCTAACTCCAGGACTGAACAATCCTGCTTAGTTCTCGCAGTCTGTTGAGTTGGGAGAGTTTTGTTTCAGATAATGAACCCTGCCTGTATTGTGCTGGCTGGTTTCATTATCACGTGTAAACTAGATGAGCAGACTGTGTGTTCCAAAAGGGGAAAACCTGAAGACATTGTAAGGTAATGAGGGGGAGTTCAGTCTGTCCTTAGTTTTTCTATTGGGCCAGTCAGAGTTTCCTGTAATTGAAATTGAGAGAGGAGCACGCAAAGCTCTGCTAGATAGAGATATCTGGAAGGTATTATAATTTTTTTAATTATTGTTAGATGTGCTGTGTGAATGGGAACACATAACCAGTGGCGTAACTGAGTAGATGTAGATCACTCCCATTCATTCATAATTGAGGATATAGTAACCATACCATATCCTCAATTATCTACAAACACTCAGCAATCACTGTTCGCTGATTGTTTGTTCGCGCACTCCTCTCTGGCAGGCTGTCACAGGAGGCTGAGCGAGAAGAGCAAGGAGGAGAGCCCAGCCTCCTGTGACAGCGTGGGCTGTCTCCGCCCCCACACCACTCTGCCGGACTGTAATAGGCGGCTGAGCGGTGTGGGAGGAGAGACACCGGCCGCTCACAGCGCTCTCCTCCCGCAGTGCTCGGCCGGCTGCCACTTTCTCTCCTCCCCCCGCTGGGACACAGAGCAGCGCCCAGCGGGAAGGAAAGAAATCACGGATGCGCCGCCAAAACGGCAGGAAAATGGCACCTTCGGCATTTAGCCAAAAGTGCAATTTTCGGCCGACGTCCCCCCTTCAGCTTTACGCCCGGGGCCAGCGCACCGGCTGCCCCCCGGTTGTTAGGCCACTGCACATAACAAACATATAGTGGGGGTTTTCTCAATTTAGAATACAAAGGTGCAAATACACTTTCATCTCGACAGAATTCAAGGATCCTGCTCCTAGGATCCAGGGTTCTCCATATAGAAATCTGAAGACTGATCTGACTAACAGTGCTATTTGCAGGCACCACAAGGCTAAACTTTTTTTATATATATTAAATATGGTAATATTATTATAATTAATATTATTATTATTCTGGATTTATATACCGCCAACAGTTCGCACAGTGCTTTACCATGTAAAAGGAGACAGTACAGTTACAATACATTTCAATGTAAGTGGATTAGGAGAGCCCTGCTTATGATATAAAAGGGGCAAGTGATACAAATCGGTAACAACTCCTGTGAGAGATGAGCTGATGGAGAAAGCAGAAGTACATATTTTAGGTCAAACTACAATAGGCTTCTCAGTAGAGATTAATTTTTTGGAGATCTTACTAACTATGTACAGTTTATGTGTATTGGAATATAACTATGAAATATTTATGAAGCGAGCCGTGAAGAAAAATGTTCATTTTTTAAAAAAATGCACTTTGAGCATGAAAGGTAGGCAATAGAGGAACAACAAATATGTAAAAAATTATGATATAATAACTTATTTGATATGAATAGAAATTTATTGATTTAAAGCAATACAAAATTATATATACATTTGATTTCCATTTCATAATATACAGTATGGGTACAAAAGAACTCCATTTCTTAAATCATAGACTACAGATTTGCAAAAATCAAACAAGATTTAATTAAAATACTAAAAAAAGATGGTATCCGGGAACATCAGTTATTAAATAATTTTGTAGGGCAATTCATAAATTATCTGATAAAAACAGTATTATATCCCTATAATTTCCACAAGGATCACAATTGTTTTACTGTATGTTAACAAAATAGTCACATTCCCTCTATTTGATCTCTTTTTATGTTCCTGTGGCCTCAAAATGGCGACCTGTACATTGACCATGTGGATGAAGCCAACTGTGGGTTTGATTAGATGAAATGGTCTTCTACTCCCATTTACAATCTTGCAACATGACGTGTGGATTTTCCGCTTCTACATCACCTTTCACAGTACTACCTCCTAGAGCAAGGGTGGGTAAACTCTGGCCCTCCAGCTCTGGTGAAACTACAAATCCCATTAAGCTTTGCAAGCCTCTGACAGCCACAGCTGTGACTGTCGGAAGCAAATGAATGATGGGATTCGTACTTTCACCACAGCTGGAGGAACGGAGTTTGCCTACAACTGTCCTAGAGCTTTCCCAGCAGTGTCATAACCAGTAATTGCCAGGAAAGGTAGTTGTGGAGTTGGCAGCTACATCATATACCAGTGCCATAGTGTCATATAGAGCTTCATTTTCATTACTGGAGCCTGTAGGCACATCATTTTTAAATTCCTTACGATAGATAGGCGGGCCTATCAAAACATGTTGGAAGGGACGCTGTGGAATTAAGTGTCCTTACCCACAGAGTGGTTTAAACTTAGAGCCTACCTGTCATTTTGCCATCGGCTGGGGCTTTGACAGTGTATTGTATTTGAACTTCTTTTCAGCATTACCGCCTTATTTTAATATCTTAGTCCTACAGGATATTAACATGCGCTTTTATCTATTGGATATACATGCTATTTAACCCAGCTAAAAGTGAAGAAGCCGGATAGATAACCATAATGAGGAATCTCCTCAGCTGAATCTTTAAGCTATACAGATTTAATCACGACTATTAATAAGCAGAGCTATTTTATGTTGTATCTCTGCCATTATGTAACTTACGGCATTTGCTGACTGATAGGTTGTTATTGATCCCTATACAAGATTAGTGGACATTGGACTTGTTCAGTTAAGATGCAGTGGGATATATTATTTTTATCCCGTAGAGTGTGCTGAATAAACCAGTTTGTGCATTTCCTATAATAAAACTGAATAAAAACCATTATAGTGCACATGCATTCTGAGTACAACAGTGGTAATGCATTTTAGTCTTTCAGCCAAACAGCTGCAACCAAGATCACAAAACAGAAAAACAATAGCATAAATGAAATCGGGGAAGATTTAGAATTCCTCTTTGGCACTCGTGTTCTTAGTGGCTTTTCAATGCGGTCCCACTGGGTAAGAATGGCTTCTCGAGCGCCATCCCACTTTGCTGGACCAATTAGACGGAAATGGTAAGAATTGAAGATTCCAAATACAAGTTTAATGGCCAAAACTGGATCGGTTAGGAATAGCTTCAATAGATTTGGCAATACGCCGATCTCTGAAGCAATATCTTCCAAGTACGTTATATAATTTATTCTTCGAAAATTATTTTCAGATGTTGCAAACCTTAATGGATAAAAGATGATTACTTTAAAATAGTTTCTTGTTAAAGACAGACTATATTTTGGCAAGTATGCAATTAACTTACTTAGTATACCTGTTTAGCTTCAGATCATTGATGCTCTCCAGGTTTTTGTCATAGAACATAGGATATGGTATGTAAATTATTTAGTAATGCTTAAAGTGTAGCTAAACCCAAAATCAAAAAAGGAACAAATTGCAGCTTACCAGGCCTTAGATGTGATGGCTGAATTTTTTTGCTTGTTTCATATTTTTCAACTTTATTTTCACCTACTAATCTTGCTAATAACATGCTTCCTGTCCTAGGGTCCTCCTCCTTCTAATGTATCTGTATCTATGGAGGAGCAGCATTGTCACCCTAGGCTACTCTCCTGATATGGACTGCAATCATGCCTTCCTCTCTTCATCTTCATGACATGGGGAATGGAGTAATTTGTAGTTTGTAGAAGATAGCTTGGAAAGAAAATTATACTATTTTTTACTTTAGTTTAGCTCACAGGAAGTGACAAGGGCACTGCTTTTCTGTCAAGATCAATAGGTGCATGCTACAAATGTTCTTAATGCAAGCAGCACATCTAAGGACTGGCAAGCTGAATATATAAATACTATGTAATAATAATAATAATATTACATTTTTGTTCTTGGATTTAGATATCTTTTAAAGTCTGACTTAGAGTGGCATTTTTTTAAACAGTCCCTTAAAGTAATTATAAAATAATGTATTTGTGTTTATTTGATTCCTATTCAAGAGAATTACTTTATATATAGTCAATATAGGCACAGAGGTAAATTTTTTTAACATTTTCTAATGGTGGTGTGCCTCGTGATTTTTTTCATGAAAAAAGTGTGCCTTTGCACAAAAAAGGTTGAAAAACACTGCCCTAGAAGATTAACTAATAAAACAAAGAGTTCTAGCAATATTCTCCCCTTCTTCTGCACTTTTTGGCCACTATATGTCCTCTGTTTTCTGGGTTGAATGACATCCCGTAAGTGTCATGGGCCTGCCCCCTCAGGTGGCATTGCCATTGTGCCCTGCACTTACAATGATTCAAGGAACAGCAATAACATTTTCAAGTCAATGATGCTCTCTGGATCATTAAGGACCACCTAGCACTTGAGAGGAAGAGAAAAGGACCCTATGTGTGATGTGACCTACCTAGAGGTAGGTCACGTCACATATAGGGTTTTATTTTAGTTAGGTAAGAAGAGGAAACAATTTAAAAATTATTTGTATTTCTTGTTCTATATCCTTATTGAAAAACACAAAGTATAACTTATACATAATGGGACAACATAGAGAACACATGGAGTTACAAAAAAGCAAATTGACTGACTATACTGTCATAATAGTTAATCGCTAAGAAAGTTGTCCATAGGTATAACAATAGATACCAGAAGGTAGAAATGGAGAACAAGAAAGAAAAAAAAAGGCGGGTTAAAAGGAAGATAGGGGTGTCATGCGGTAAACAAGGTCGTCAACTTTTGCCCAGAGAGGACCCAAGCCAGCTCACGGTACCAACAAAACGTCATCCAAACCAGATGGCAAGTATTTATCTATCCACAGTTAACATATTCTGGTGTATTTAGAAACTCTATCCAGGATGGTTACCTCCATTTTTTCATGAATCATGGCCTCAGTAAGTCTAGTTTTAGTTGAAATTAAGGCTAGGGGTCCACCAGGCTCTCACAATTGTTTGTTTAGCAGCTGTGATTACCTTCAAGAGCAGGGTGAATTGCGAGTTCGACACTTCTGGGGGCCGTTTATTCAGTAGAGCATAAGCAGGGTCAGGGGGAAAAGAATAGCCTAGCTTTTTGGACATTATACCAAATACAGCTGACCAGGTGAACTGGTAAAGCTAAACGTGAAAGTTTGCCATTTAATTTACAAAGTCATTAACAGCAGAAACTGGACAGAGACAACATGTCAAGACACAAAGCAACAGCAGCAGTACACCAACAAAGACAGGACAAGAATTATACAGCTTGACAAACAGAATGTGTATACAAGAAATAAAATTACAGACTGGGAACCTGGCCAGAAACTGTAAAAGAGAAACACAAAGTCCTTCTGGCAAACAAAGCAGATCTATGGTCAGGGAGATAGCAGAGAGAGAAAAGTAGAGCCACAGAAATAAAGGCAGAAACAATGCCACAAAGAGTAAATTTATTGTAGGCCATGTAATTGCAGTATAAGGAACAAAAAGCAAGCCTGCCAACAGGAGCTGGATAAGGAGGTTGGCCTATTTAGTTTTCTTTTTTACCTTTATTTTTGCCTGGTGATTCTGTCAGTCACACACTATGTTGCTTTCCTGATTTAGACTACAAACATCTCTTTCCCTACTTTTCTCCATGACATAGAGCAGAGTTGTTTTGTAGTTCGCAAAATATCGCAGATAACATTGTTTGAGATTTTAGTTCAAAGAACAGGAAATTACAAGGATACTTACTGGGTTATTCACAAAAGGGTGAAGAGTTTGGAGAAGGCAGGAGAAGTGAACAATCTAGGACAACATAGCTGATTTGGGAAACATTTCTAATTCAGCTCACTTTCCAGTTCAGCTATGTTGTCCTAGATTGTTCACTTCTCCTGCCTTCCCCAAACTCTTCACCCTTTTGTGAATAACCCTGTTAATTTCTAGTAGGATCAACTAGATTTTTTTTTTACTTTCAGGAAATACAATTAGTCTAAAAATAAACTAATGCAGTCACCACAACTAAAGACTGGTCAGCTGCAATATATTAATTTTTTGTTCTTGAATTTAGATATACTTTAAATATCAACACAGTTCAGGTGAAACACATGTAAGGACATGACAGATTTAAAGGCTGAGAGACACATATAGCAAGTGGTAGGGGAAAGGCAGGGGAAAATATTGATTTGAATCAGATGGGGAAAAAAAGGAAGATACACACAAATCTACAAGACGCAGTCTTCTTAATTTATTTAAAGCCCATTTGTGTAATAAACTATTTTTTTCTTAAAAATCTTGTTTTTTTACATATTTTGCCTGTTCCTTTAAATACCTTATTGTCTCAGTGGGAAAAAAAAATTTTGCCCTCAAACTCCAGTGCTCTATGTTGACAGAGATAAGTAAAAGCTAATCCTTCACCACAACTGTTTTCACACAGAATTGTAGTGAAGAGAGGCGGCTTGTCTGACCAGACCTGCTAGATTATGGAGTGTACTAGGTTAAAATCTGGTGCCTACTAGTCTGCAAAGCCACATTTAGAAAAGCTCTACAACTGCTAAAACAGAAATGTGGAAGTAGGAATATGAAAACAGAGATTGTTAGTACAATGACTTGATTAATATATCTTTCTGTTACTTCAATTCATCATAAAATTAGCAAGAAATTGAGAGAATTTCAGCCTGCTCAAAGAAACTGCAAATTATCAAGCTAACATTTTCATCTGGCTTTATTCACTAAGGTCAAGTAGTTTTCCATTATACTTAGTACTGCTGCTTCATGATGCTGCACAAAGGCTGACTTATTAAAGTAGTTGAGAATGTTTTGGCCAAAAATAGTGAAGATTAATGTAAATTATCTAATCATGTGCAGATGATATCAATAAACAGGTGTTTGCTTTTCACATGGTTGGATAATTGACAAAAGTCTTATCATTTTTGAGCAAGCCTTCTCAACTCGTTTAGTTAATCTGCCTCGACCTGTACCATCACCATTAGTGCCCTTACTAACTGACTTGCTGATGCTGCTCTAATACCCAAATCACTAATGTAGGAAGAAGCATGTACATTCATATGCTATGCATCTTACCATTTCTTTCGTAGTTTTTCATCCTTCAGCATTTCTTCCTTCATCCCCATTACATTTGGAAGTTTATGCAAGCCTATAAAATAATTCTACATTAACCACGGAATCAGTTAAATGCAATTTTTTTTTTAGATAAGATATGACCAGGTTGTGCCGGGTGTGCTTGGTCACAACCTTTTTACCCTGAGCCCAACACTGAATCCGCAGCAATGGCCCTGTGTTTTTAGTCACTGAGCCAGCGGAGAGATCACAAAGATCTCTCTGTGACCAGCTCAGCCAAAACAGTGGGTAGCAGCACTTGCCACTTACATTCCTCACATAACATTCCTCACATAACCTTAGTGCCTGGAAAGCTGCAAGGGAGCATGGCTGTGGCTTCCCATTCATTCAATCTTCCCATTCAATCAGGAAGCTGGGCGGGTGGTCACATGACCACCTGCTAGGCTCCCTGTTTCATTACTGCACCGCTGCTGGAAGAGGTATATATATATATATATATATT